GGGCGGTTCTTCAAGAACTTCTTCAAATCTTCAAGAGGGTTCTTGAGAACTCTTGAATTTGAGACTTTAATATTTGAGATGTGTTTGATATTTTTGAGGTGTTTGAGGTGTTGAGGAGATCCCTATTTATAGGTTCAGGGGAGAGAGTTTTTGAAAAGAAGACATCAATTTGATTGGTCCTTCTTGATTTGATATAATCTCTTTCCTTATCCTAAGATTTGATATAATCTCTTTCCTTATCCTAAGATTTGACTTGTTGGGCAAGAAATAATAAATTTTATTAATTAAATATCTTATTTATCATGGATTTATGTCCCAAAATAAATAAAGACATTAATTAATAAAATATTAAAATTTCGATGTCTACAAATGCCCCCTTGAGACTTGTTCACGGATAAAATGACTTGGTAGTGAATGAGTCTCAAAATTTTGAATTTGGTTTGGCCATGTAGATAGTTTAAACTTTTATCCATGAGTTCTTCAAATTAAGTTTGTAGATAGTTTAAACTCATATCAGGGAGTTCTTCATTTGACTTGATTTGTAGATAGTTTATACTCATATCAAGGAGTTCTTCATTTGACATAATTTGTAGATAGTTTAAACTCGTATCAAGGAGTCTTGATTTGATTTGACAGATAGTTTATACTCGTATCAAGGACTCTCCAATTTTGTAGACATTTTATGCTCGTATCAAAGAGCCTTCAAATTTGTAGACATTTTATGCTCGTGTCAAGGAGCCTTCAAATTTAACATGTAGACAGTTTATTCTCGTGTCAAGGAGATTTTGATATGTAGACATTTTATGCTCGTGTCAAGGAGCCTTCAAATTTGATATGTAGACATTTTATTCTCGTGTCAAGGAGATCTTGATATGAAGACATTTTATAGTCGTGTTAAGGAGCCATAAGATAGTTTAGGCTCATATCAAGGAGCATATGTAGATAGTTTAAGCTCATATCAAAGAGCATTATATATGTAGATAGTTTAGGCTCATATCAGGGAGCATTTGAATATTTGATGGAGCTCTTCATGTGAATTGCCCCCATGCTTCATGGCTTCGGAAGACATCATTCTTCATTGCCCTCATGTACATTTTCTTCAAAGAGGTCTTCATACATCTTCAAGATCTTCAAACTTGATTTGCAGAGAAGAGATGATCGGTAGAGAATGTCCCACTGGGCGTGCCAAATTTGTAACGACAAATTTTATGAAAAACATAAAATTTCTGTACAACTTGATTTATTTTGATCAAACGATATGCGGGTACAATCTCTATTTATCTCCTCTGATTCTTCTCTTCATGAATTTGGGATTGAGACCTTGAAAAATGGATTTGACGATTGAATCTCCTTCGGGCTTAGTCTTGAATTTCTCTAACATTAATTTGGGGGTCGAATGACTTATTCTCGTATTAAATGTTAGGCCTTGACTTGATTGAAGAAGCCTTCTTGGAGGATTTGATTCTTTGATCTTCTTGAAAGATGGACTTTAACTTGAATAACGTTGACTCGAGGGCTTGATAGATTTTTCTCGAATCAAACGCTATGTTGGTTGAACTTCTCAACGAACACGGCTTGAATGTCGCTTGAACGTCGTTTATATTCTTGGATTGACTTGAGAAGCGTGAAAGTCGTCTCTTTACTTCTTGAGGAAGACCCGCTACCTCTTTTTCTTCTTCTTGGCCTTTATTTTTATTAAATGGACTTCGGGCGGTTTTTCAAGAACTTCTTCAAATCTTCAAGAGGGTTCTTGAGAGCTCTTGAATTTGAGACTTTAATATTTGAGATGTTTTTGATATTTTTGTTGGTGTTTGAGGTGTGATTTGTGGCATGGAGAAGAGCCTTATTTATAGGTGTAGGAGAGAGAGTCTTGAAGAATAAGACTTCAATTTGATTGGTCATTCATGATTTGACATAATCTCTTTCCTTCTCCTAAGATTTGATATAATTTCTTTCCTTATCCTAAGAATTGACTTGGTGGGAAAGAAACAATTATTTTATTAATTAAATATCTTATTTATCTTGAATTTATATAAAAAATAAATAAAGACATTAATTAATAAAATATTAACCATTTCGATGTCTACAGTAACAACAAATTTTATTATTTTTTTTTCCAGAACGATAGAGATAATATAGAAGAGCACCAAAGTGCAAAAAGAACAAATTACAAGGCCCCAACGGGGTAATCTAAGGCCCCAACAGGGTAATGAGACAGGGGCCAACGGCCCAAACCAAAAACACGCCTAAAAAACAACAGGAATAGCAAACTGAGAGGACTCGCACAAGGCGGCCTAGAGAACTCCACAACCGAAAAATAAAGGAAAATGAAAAACAGAGCCACTGCACAATGCCTAGCCTGAATTCATCTCCGAAATAAAAACGAACAAACACTGAAAAGATAAAACACCATAAAACACACAATGAAAACTAAAAGAGCAAAACCACCTAAACGAAGAACTAAAACCATCCCTCCCCCGGCCAAAGCTTCCAAGAGCACCCAAGAACCAAAGCCAGCTAAAGGGAGATCAAGACATTGAGACCCCGATCGCCACTACCACAAGCCTAGCTAAGACGGGACCCAAAGTCCCGAATCCCACCCGAGCCAACCTGGATTGCCTACGAAAAAGTCCTCAAACCCCACTCGGCTAACACAACTAACCAAGTACCAATCCTACCCCGGAAATGCCAGACCCGAACAACCGACTCCGACACTACCAGAAAGAATCGGACCCCCACCACCCCCAACAAATTTTATGAAAAACATAAAATTTTTGTACAACTTGATTTATTTTGATCAAACGATATGCGGGTACAATCTCTATTTATCTCCTTTGATTCTTCTCTTCATGAATTTGGGATTGAGACCTTGAAAGATAGATTTGACGATTGAATCTCCTTCGGGCTTAGTCTTAAATTTCTCTAACATTAATTTGGGGGTCGAATGACTTATTCCCGTATTAAATGTTAGGCCTTGACTTGATTGAAGAAGCCTTCTTGGAGGACTTGATTCTTTGATCTTCTTGAAAGATGGACTTTGACTTGAATAACGTTGACTCGAGGGCTTGATAGTTTTTTCTCGAATCAAACGCTATGTTGGTTTAACTTCTCAACGAACGCGGCTTGAATGTCGCTTGAACGT